TTTCCTTTCCTTTCCTTTCCTTTCCTTTCCTTTCCTTTCCTTTCCTTTCCTTTCCTTTCCTTTCCTTTCCTTTCCTTTCCTTTCCTTTTCTGAGAGAGGGTCTCACTGTATAACCTAGGGTGGCCTCAGGCTTACATTGGTCCCTCCTGCCTCAGCCTCCTGAATGCTGGGGTACAGGTATGAATTATCCCGCTGTGCACTTGAGGGCCTTCTCAAGGAAGAACTTCACCCTCCTTCAAGGGGGCCCTGTTGTGAGTGTCACTGATGAAGAAGCAAGCTAAGCTCCTGTGGAGAAGGAGCACTTCAAATGTCTTGCCAGCTACAACCTGATCAGAGGATCAGTGATAAAGCCCTTGAGGCTGGGCAATGGGTAGGATTTCTAACACCACCACCAGAGTTCTAAAAGCAAACACACCCTCTGAACAATGCAGTCACTCTGCAGGGCCATGGCTAGAGATGGCTGGCTGGGGAGGGGACCCAGTGTATCCCTTGGACTATAAAAGGAACACCACCAAGGGGCCAAGCTGAATGGGGACAGTTTTGGAAACCATCCCATAGGACTCCAAGTTGATCCAGCAGCCGCCGCCACCGCCTTAGGAACATTCAAATCCTTGGTGGGAATGAGGATGGGAACAATAGTGATGGGTACTTCCTGTCTGCTGGACCTGGGCCAAGCAATTTTGAGCGCGTTGTTTCATTTAACCCTGTGTGGAATGACACCACCGCTGTTCCCACTTTGAGGCGCAGAGGAGTTAAGCAAGTGATGTTTTTACCTTTTGTTGTTGTTTGGATTTTGTAAGACAAGGTCTCATGCAGCCTAGGCTGGTCTCAAACATGCTAGGTAGTCAAAGATGACCCTGTACATCTGATCTTTCTGTCTCTACCTCCTCACTGCTGGGATTACAATGCATGTCACAATTCCCAGTTTCATTCAGTTCTATGGCACTCTGAACTTTATGTATGATGGACACAATGCTCTACCACATGAACTACGTTCTCAGCCCTTGCCTTGTTGCTATTATTATTATTATTGACAGCATCTCATGTAATCCAGGCTGGCCTATAGGTTATTATTATTATCATCATCATCACCATCATCACTATTATAGACAGCATCTCATGTAATCCAGGCTGGCCTATAGCTCCATATATAGCCAAGGATGACCTTGGCCTAACCCTCCTCCCTTCATGTCCCGTGTTAGGATTACAGGCATGCATCATCACGCCAGACTCTCCGTTTACTTTTAGGTAACAGTAGCACCCAGTTAAGTTGGCACCAGGATTCAGACCTGAATGGAGCACAAAGTTTGTTTAAGTATGGGAGGGAAGGTAAGTCATAATGGTATGAGCTACTCCTGCAAGAGTATTTTTCTCCTCCAGTAGCTTAGCAATCCCCCTAAGGTCAGGCCCTGTGCCAAGCACTTAACATATCTTATCTCTTTATCTTCATAACCTCACTATGAGTAAGTGATTTTACTATAGACATTTGTATAGATGAGAAAATGAAGGCCTGAGACCAGGCGACTTGCTGGGGTTCAAAACCAGGCAGTCACATTACTGAGCTCTCTGGTGCTGGAACAAGAGACGGTATGGGCTGGACCAGAACCCAGGACTTCTCTGAGGTTAGCTGAACATTCTCTCTGTTGGCAGCATTGTTCCTTAAAAGCGTGCTGGCCTTATGCCCAAAGAGTGAAATCACACCCTGCGGTTCTGGGAACCTCAGACTGGAGAAGAAGGAAGCTGTTGCTGAGTGGTTCAAGTCTGAGCAGGTGTGCTGGGACTGTTTCCTCTTCTCTCTGGAAGGAGCCTGCTAGCCCGGCAGGGTGGGGCAGCCCTTGTCAGTACCCTGTGGGAGCAGGGCGGGAGGCAGGTGTGCCCATTAAATAGGTCTGAGTCTTACTGCCTTCCAGCCTTTATCCAGCTCCAGCACACACACACACACACACACACACACACACACACACACCCGCCCCAACCCCCACCCCCAGGGCACACACACCTAGATGCCTGCCTGGCAAGCATCGAAGAGATGAGAGTTCAAGGTTGAAGTCAGAAGGTTTGCTTCCTGGCTGTGGTTCAGGACTCTCCTGGTGTGCACTCCTGACCTCCAGCTCCTCATCAGTGTAGAGTGATGGTGGTGGTGGCTGGGAGGCAAAACCTTCCAGCCTTTTCGGCTAACACACTATTTATTAACTACCTCTGGTAAACTGGAGACGAAGCCAAAGCAAGATTTAAGCCTGGTTTCTTAGACTCTAGCAAGGACAACCTGACTCAGATCAAGTCTTCATCAAAGCCAAGGTACAAGGGAGGCCGAGACACTTCTAAGGGAAGGGTAGAGCATAGGCTTGAGGTAGGAGAGCAACAAATGGGTTGGTACTTACAAGGTTGGTGGGTAAGGATGCCCTAAAGATGCCATTCGTTGGCGAATGGCTGATTGACATAGCAGCTCCTTTTCAGAAGGTTTATACTAAGAGAAGAGAGAAGGCCAATGGACCCCGGAGACTGACAGAAGCTTAGCCAGTTCTAGACACTGGGCTACAGTAAAAGACATGATTGAAATTATTTTTAACGGGGGTTATTGGGTGGGTCTCGGGGAGAGAGATGGTTAGGCTTAACAGAAAATGGAATAAAAAAACGCATGGTTCAAAGAAAACATATGAATGCCACCCTCTCTGAGGAGTCTTCTCTGATTTCTCTGCCTTTGACCTGTGCGGGTCTCCCTCCCTCTCTGGCCTTGCAGTCTGTCTGGGAAGAGAGAGAACTTAGGCCTCCGAAGCTTTCTCTTTTGCCGTGGCAGAGCACCGCGGCTTCAAACGCGGTTCTAAGCCTCCTGGAGCCTCAGTTTCCCCAGCTGTGTAGAAGCAGGTTGTCTGGCAAGGGCCCGCCCAGCGCTAACGCAACGTGATTCGCTCTAGCAGTAAGGAGGGGGTGCCCGCATTGCTGCGCAGGCACCAGGCTGCTGGCCGGGGCACCGCCACCTGGCTGCCGGCGCTTTTTTTTCCCTGCAGGGGGCTGCGAGACCTGGTCGCCGCGCCAGACTCTGAGCAGGAAAAGCGGGGGGGTGCGACCCCAGGCTCGCGCGGCCCCGCCCCCGCAGCCAGCCCGCCTGCCGCAGCCGGGGGCCCGAGCTCCGCCCTCCACCCGCCCGCCCGCCCGGCTGCCTCCTCCCTCCTCCTCGCTCGCTTGTTCGCTCGCTCGCTCCCTCCCCCGGGCGGGCTCGGCGCTGACTCCGCCGCACGCTGCAGCCGCGGCTGGAAGATGGCGGGGAACGACTGCGGCGCGCTGCTGGATGAAGAGCTCTCGTCCTTCTTCCTCAACTATCTGTCTGACACGCAGGTACTGCCAGCTGGGAACGCAGGCCAGGGACTAAGGTGCAGAGGCGCGGGGCTGCAGCCGCAGCTGCAGAGGAAAGGAGCGCAGCGGTGGGCGCACCGGGGGCGATCGGGGGGGTTCAGGCTGCAGAGCCCCCCCTTCCACGTGCCTTGCGCTACGCTCTGTTACAGGCGTAGAGAGCTGCAGGTCGCCGGCGCCTGCTGTAGCATTGTGGGGGGGGACACAGCCAGGGCCACCTAGAGTCTGCTGTCTTCCACCGGCAAAGTTGAGGGGTACTGCGAGTCCTATGGCAGGTAGAATCCAGCCAGGGTCGGGGGATCCCTAAAGGCTGGCTCTGGGTGTTGTAGGCGCGTCCTCGGCGCCGGGCACTTGCTGCCGTACTTTCACGTGCACTTGTGGCGGGGCTAAGGGAGGCAATCGGTAGCCCTGGAGTCTCCTCGTTCTCCAGCATCGGGTACCCCGTAGTCCCCCCACCCCCCGACCTGCTCCGGCAGCGCAGAGTTTCCTGTCAGTTGCTGGCTAGGGGACTAGGGGTCGGCGGGGCACGTGGACATGCGGGCGGAGATTGCGTCTTCCAGCTCTCACTATCCGGAGGAGACCCGCTAGGAAAGAGCAAGGCAGGATCCGGGCGGAAGGACTATCTAGGGGGTGCCTGGGTCCCCCTGCGGCGCGCGGCCCCGGCGCGCGCTCCACGATGCAGGGGGAAGGGAAGGTGAGGCGGCGTCCCGGGCTCTGACTGAGACTGGGAGCCTCACCGGCTACAAGCGCATGACAGGAGTGTGCTCTGGTGTTCGGGAGGGAGGACAGGGAAGCTGCGGACTTTGGAGCCTAAAATGGGGTCTGCTGCTGGGACAAGCAGTTGCGGGAAAATGTGTGCACGTGGCGTGGGGGGCCCCCACCTCTTCCTCCGTTTCCCCTCCAGTCCATGCCTGTTGCAAGCCTAAAGTTTGGCTCCCGAGTTAGGGCTTTTGCTCCCGGCTCCTGGCTGTGTGTTCTCGAGAGGCTGGGGATGCGACGGAGCCTTGGAGGAGACCCCGGTTGCGGGGACACGCCTGGGTACGGAGAGGGGCTGCTAGGCGGAAACCCGCGGGACTCGCGGGGACAAGCTGAGTACCTGGTGTGGAAGCGTTTGTGCCGGCCCGTTTTGCATAACACCGGGAGGGAGGGGAAAGCGGAGGGGGGGGAGGTGGGAGGAGAGAGGGAAACTTTGCTTCTGGTTAGAATCTACCAGTCTTTGGGCGGTAGCAGCTGTCATGGGACCGGGTGGGCGGGGAGAGGCTTGCAAGCTGACTCCTTGCGGTGAGACGCGACTTGGAGGGGGACGCAGCGGCCGAGACGTTCTGCTCCGGGAAGACTCCTGGTGGCGACTTCAGGCTGGCGACTAGGACAGGCGTCGTGGCGGTGTGTCGCCGAGCGAGAGGAAGCCCGCTACGCGCGGGAGCTTTCTGCAAACGCCGTGGCGTCCGGGAGCCGCGGGGCCGCGTGGTGTGGGGCTGGTGCGCTCGGGTGGGTTCATAGCAGAGGCCCAAGGGGATGGTGGCGAATGATCGCGCTTCTTCAGGTCGGGAGGGGGTGTTAATGAGCAAGCTGTGTGCGAGTGGTGTGTGTGTGTGTGTGTGTGTGTGTGTGTGTGTGTGTGTCCCCTGAGCGTGTGCACACGCCGCGCGCGCCGGGCGCGTACCTTTACCTCTGACGAAACTGCAGTGGAGCTCCCGGCAGCGTCGCCGGGCACGGTCACACGCCCGGTGTTTGTGTCTGCCCAAGGCGGGCCTTAGCCTCAGCACCCCAGGAGTGGACAGCGTGGAACCGGGAGTGGAGGTGGTAGGGGTATGGGGGTCCTGGAAAAGACCTGCACCCCAGATCTCGATTGCGTGGAGTCGTGTCTTAAGAACCGAGTAGAACAGGCCCAAAATTGCCAGTGAGACTCCTTCACCCATACCAAGGTTGTCCGCTCTGGACAGGACCCTCGTCTTTAACTCTAATTTTGGTGTTTAGCTCACCGATAATTAATTAATTGTTTGCCCTTTTAACCACCAGCCTATTCTACTCAGTAGGTTGTTTCCTTGCTTCACCCAAGGAAACTAGAAAATTGGGTAACCAGTTGTCAGCAGAAGCAATGCAGTGAAAGTTAATTTGGGACGTTTACTCCCCCCACCCCCTTTTAACTTAATCACGTGACAGGCCGAAGATCTCCGGGTGATCTTTGCCGGGCCAACTTGGGAAATGTAATTGATACCAGGAGCTTTGCAGCCGCCCCTAGAAGGCTCAGAGCTGAGCGGGAATGGGCGGGGCAGCCCGCCGCCTCATTTTACAGTTGGGGAAGAGGCTGTGAGGGGTGAGCTGCCTGTCCACGACCACTCAGCCAGGGGGTGACAGAGCCACCCAGGGCTCCTGACTCCAGGTCCTGTGTGTTACCTCGAAATAGCACTGGACTTGGAGTCAGAAGGCCTGAGTGGAGTCACCTTCCCCGCTCTCTGGCTGGGTGATCCTGGAGCAAGCCATTTTAACTCTCCAGCCGGGTTCCTCCATCTGTCCAATGGGGCCGGTGGCGCTGACGGAGAAGCCAGAGGCCTGCTGGTGGGGTGAGCCATGTTTGCATGTGAGCTGTCTGGCTGTCCTGCTTCTTCCCCACAGCCCTTCCCAGACCCTCCTCTCCCCCAGCTCTCCCCTCGGGAGGGTTGGGGAAAGTGGATTGTCTTTGTCCCCAAAAGAGTCCTTTTTTGTCTTTGGTGGCTAACCCAGGCTTAAAGAGAACTGTTTGAGAGACTTAACGTTTATTCGTTGGGGCCAAAGTAGACATTTAACAGAACCAGGCTTGTGGAAGTGTCTTGGAAATGTTTGAAGAATAGGTTCCAAAGAACTCTCTGCTGGCTTCACTTTTGCCTGCTGTACTCCTTGCTTGGTGTGCTTTGCCCACCATCCCGCATGGCTTTCTCCCTTAGCAGGCCTTCCTGCCAGCTTGCCCTACTCTCTCTTGTGCCTTTCATAGTTAGTTATAGAGCCAAGCACTTATGTGTTTGAGTCTGTCCAGTAGGATCTAAGTTAGGTCTTTTATCTCTCTGTGCTCACATGGCACCTGCCAGCATGCTGAGCAATGTCCCTTTGCCCAGCTCTTGACGAGGTACATGGATTACAAATAGGGGTACAGCTGAGCCAAACAAGCTCCTGGGCTGACAGGGAAGACAGCTGGGCAGTGGACATGGGAGAGGACGATGTCGAGGGCTACAGCTGCTAGCAAAAGCCTTGACTCCAAAGGCCACACGGGGAAGCCCAGTCAATAAAGGAGTTATTTGAAATCACATGAGAGCCCGGAGGAACAGTCAGAGTGTGAGAGATGACAAGGACATTTATAAATCAGCTAGTCCAACCCTTGTTTAAAAAGTAATGTTGACACTGTTAGAAAACACTGCCAAGCATTGTGAAAAGAGAGTCATGTTTAATATTTTCAATTGGTTTAAATTAGCTAATTTGGTATGTGTGTTTGCACGTGCGTGCTCTGGCATGCGTGTGGCGGTCAGAGGACAAGGTGCAGGAGTTTGTTCTCTTCCACAAAATGGGACATGGAGATTGAACTCAGGTTGTTAGCTGTTGCCTGCTGAGCCCTCTCACCAGTCCAGAAATATGTAATATTACCCAAAGATAGCCGCTTTAAAGTCATATGTATCTCTAGATGTTTTTCATATAGACCAGTTATTTTGGGGTGTGGGGGTGGGGAAGAAAATAATAAATGTAGTTATTCTGTTATACTAATTTGTAACTTGCAAGCATACTGTTTTTGTAACTTGCTTCTTTTTTTTATCTCCTCACAATATGCTGTGAACATCTTTCCTCATCAATAAATATTGTGCCTAATATCTTAATGGCTGTATAGTATTTCATGGGACGTCGAGCCAACATGTATCAATCAATCCTCTGCTGTCGCTCGGCTGCTTGCGTTTATCCTATTGTAAGCAACGTCGAAACAAATATATTTGTGTACATGCGGTTTTTCCCCTTCATTTAAATTCCTAGAAGTGAAATTGCTCTGTCAAAGGAACCACGCTGGCGTTTGGTAAACACATAAGGAAATCGTCTTTGAGAGAGACTGTATTCATTTACACACTCATCAGCATTGTGTGGAAACGCCTGGCTGGCCATACCCCAGTTATTCATGCCGTTTGTATTCTACCAGTTCGGTCAACAATCTACTTTGTTACTCTTGCAGTTCATGTGCGTTTCTTTGATGTTCAATGGCTGCCCCCTTGCATGGCCCCAGGGATTTAACCTGACTAGGGCAGTGAGGGAATGAAGAAAAGACACAGAAACAACTAGAACTGAGTGGATTGGTTGGGCTGTCTGATGGAGAAAGGCTCAGATGCTCAGCGTGTATTATATACAGTTGTACCGTGAGGTAGTGTTTATTGCATACATCCGAATCAAAGAGGTGGGATTCTGCATACAGATAAATGAGGAGGTGAGATTTATAGTCCGCTGCTGTATCGAGGGGTCAGGTTTAGCTAAGTTTGATGGGAACCATCTTCAGTCTGTAGTATCTAAAGGAAGAAAACTAGGGTGGACATTTTCTGCACTCAGTGTCAACATTCACACTTGGACACCCAGGAAGGCTTTGCCATGCTTCAGAGCCCCACTCTGATGGGGGTGGGGGTGGGGCGGGGTGATTTGCCATTTCTCATGGGTCTGAGTTGTGTCCCTGCCAACAACTTACATTCCCTCGGGGCTTCCTCTGCATCCCATGCTCAGTCCCTTCCCATGGAGAATCACTTACTGCTGGTTCCATATAGCACCATGGTTGGGAGCTTGTCCTACTTGGGGGGGCCCATGGCACAGGGAGAACTGGAGAAATGACTTGAAGTCCCAGCGCTCCTTGATAGGTCTGGGAAAATGCTGCCTCTGCTGCCACTGAAGCCAGGGTCAGCTGCTGTCCAATCAAACTTGTAGCTGTGTGAAGCAGGTGCATTTGCCCTCCTTTGGCCTGCATGAGACCAGGGGCAGGGTAACGTCTT